TTCTTCCGCTCCTCTCGCCCTTTTCTTCTCCTCTATCACCTCCCTCTCCCTTCCCCATCTCCCTTCTTTCTCTCCCTTCTCTTCTCCTCTCTCACTCCCTTCTTCTCTGCCCTTTCCTCCCTCCTCCCTTCTCCTTTCTATCTCCTTTCTCTCTCCTCTTTCTCTCACTCTTTTCTCCCTCTTTCCCATTTCTTCCACCACCCCCCTGCCTCCTCTCCTCTCCCTCTTTCTCTTTCTCTCTTTCTCTCAGAGTCGTTCTTAAGGTGTGGTCGTCCGTCTGTTTTCTCTGCCCATTCTTGTCATTCCTGGAGCGGAGGGCGTCTAAATATACCTCCGTCCGTCCGTCCGTCTCTCGCGCCGAGACGCAGATAAAGACTCGAAACGTAAAAACACACGGCCGAACCGCGTCACAGATGTTAAAGCTGCAGTGTGGAGCTTTTTCTCACTTGTAGCAGTCGTTGTTGTACTTGTTGTAGCTGCCCAGAGCGGTGAGGCTGCCCAGACAGATGCCGTACGAGAAGAAGATCTGAGTCCCGGCGTCCATCCACACCTGGAACGAGACCGGGGTCAGGGGTCAGAGGTCAGAGGTCGGAGGTCGGCGCACACGGACGCTTTAACAGAGGAGGAAAAAACGGACAATAAACGTGTGGAGGATGTTTTAAGTTACGCAACTGACACGAAATCCGTAAAGCAGAAGTCGAGAGTTTGATTCAAGTCTAATCTGTGTGTCGATCGTTCATTTGTTTTTCAAAATAAAACCAAAAATAAGAAAATGAAAATACAACAGTTTTCTTCATTATTTGTCTCCAAAACCAAAATGAAAAACAGATAATGATTCGTTTTTTCAGTTTTAAATTTTGTGTTTAAATGAAGAATGGAAAAAACAGACAACGGCCGTTTCCCGTTTACGTGACGATACGGACTGAACCAGGACTGAACCAGGACTGAACCAGGACTGAACCAGGACTGAACCAGGACTTGACCAGGTCCGGGACCAGAGCAGACTCAGAGCTTTGACTCTGAGTCTCCGAAGGGTCCGAGCCTCAGCTTCGAGTTCCGGCCCTGCTGTGGGCTCTGAGCCTCCGGTCTGGTCCCGGTCTGGTCTTGGTCTCAGTCCCAGTCTCCTCGGTCTGGTCTCAGTCTCGGTCCCACTCTGGTCTTGGTCTCAGTCTCGGTCTGGTCTCGGTCTGGTCTCGGTCTGGTCGGGTCCCATCTGGTCTCAGTTTGGTCCCGTTCAGTCTCGTCTCGTCTCGTCTCAGTCCCGGGTCCCGGTCTCCGGTCTGTCTCAGTCCGGTCCCGGTCGGTCTCAGTCTCGTCTGGTCTCAGTCTCGGTCTGGTCTCAGTTTGGTCCCGGTGTCAGTCTCAGTCTCGGTCGTCTCGGTCTGGTCTCGGTCTGGTCTCAGTCGGTCCGGTCTCTTCGGTCTGGTCCAGTCTCGTCTCGGTCTGGTCTCAGTTTGGTCCCGGTCTCAGTCTCGGTCTGGTCTCAGTCTGGTGCCGGTGTCAGTCTCAGTCTCGGTTTGGTCTGGTCTGGTCTTGGTCTCAATCCCGCTTTGGTCTCAGTCCAGTCCCGGTCTCAGTCCCGGTCTCAGTCCCGGTCTCAGTCCCGGTCTCAGTCCCGGTCTCAGTCCGGTCTCAGTCCCGGTCTGGTCCCTGGACCTGGATCAGTCCTGGTTCAGTCCTGGTCTGGTCCCTGGACCTGGATCAGTCCTGGTTCAGTCCTGGTCTGGTCCCTGGACCTGGATCAGTCCTGGTTCAGTCCTGGTCTGGTCCCTGGACCTGGATCAGTCCTGGTTCAGTCCCATAAATGTCACATAAACGGGAAACGGCCGTTATCTGTTTTTTCCATTCTTCATTTATTCATTTTCTTCATCTGTGTCCCTCCGTCCACTTTCCGATGCAAAACGCGGGGAAATTTAAAAAAAAACATTTCCATCCAAACAAAACCGCTCTGAACTTCAAATCTGATTCATCGATTTTATCTTTTTTTTCGCCCTGCCCCATTCCTCACTGGAACATCACACACGAAAAAAACACTGATAATATTAATTCAGTTTATATTTCGGCCGTTTTGTCGATAATAAAATCAGCGTGTGTGTGTTTATCGTTCGTCCTTTACGCGTTTTAAAGTTTCTGGACGTGGACTTCCCTCCGGGGTGAACGCAGGTCCGTCCATCCGTCAACTTATTTTGTTTAAGAAAAGCTTCAAAATTTGCCCCAGAAACGAAACTCGAGCTTTAAGTAAGTTTAATTAACCGTCCGCGAAAGAACTTCTGAAGGTTTCCAAGTCGATTCTTCACCCGAACCTAGAATAATACACATTTAAAGTACGGCGTTTATTCTACACACACACGTGGTACTTTTTATTTTAAATGTTCTCGGAGTTTTGGCCCCGGAGCGACTTTCAAACCTCTCCTCGAATGAATCAGAAAAGCAAAAAAAAGTGAAACCGGGAACATTTGGGAGGAACCGCGTCGGCTAAAAAATGCACCAAAGGGTAAAAAGGTGAATGTGGTTTGGAGAGCAGGAGTTAAAGGTTGTATAGAGGATTTTTTTAAGGGAAGAGAAATACAGCGATAGTCCTCGTGCCTGCGTGACACCACCTTCCTCCTCCACAGCCTCAGTAGAAACATCTCCTCCCGCCTCTTTACTCTAGAAATCGCGCTTGTTTACAGCCAGTGCGCGTTCAGAATTACCGTTGAAGTTTCCTGTCTAGAAATAATTTATCAGTTTTTAGTCCCTTCGTCAGCTTCGGTCGCGCCATCGCTGGAAGGAATCTCCAAGAATCACCTCAGTTTGTCTTTCCTCCTTTCCCCCTTCTCTTCGTCTTTCAGCGACCTCAAAAACTTTCTTTTGCGGCGAACCGGTCGTGGATTCTCGTCGGCCGTCGCGACAAACTTTGTGCGAAATGTGAGGAAGCGACTGTTTTGAAAAAGCCTCTAAGAACCGCCGCGTAAACCACGTAATCCCCGCGCGCCGACGAGTCAGTTACACTAGAAACGTAGGGAGTTTGATTGACAACCTAACAGCCAATAGAAAAAGAGGCAGCCTCGTTTTCTATTGGATGATGTTTATCTGGCCTCAACACGTTCACAGTTGATAGATTTTCATTCTTTTTTTTTTTTGGTCATCATAATTACAAAGCTGCGTCTCTCTAATGGTATTTTAACCTTTCATTGACAATTTGAAACTGAAAAAAAAATCCTCCCTACAACCTTTAAAAGGATAAAAAAAAAAAGTGTTTTCATGTTGGAAAAATGAAAATATGTACAGATGTAGGTGGTCTGGGCCTTTCTTCTGCTCCTCTGCTCCATCTCACCCTGAACTTCTTCTGCTCTTCTCACGTTCTCCTCTGACCCTCCTCTCCTCTCTTCTCTCCATCGCTCCTCCCTCTTCCCCTCTTTCTTTCTCTGATCTCTCCTCCTCCTGGCTTCTCTGCCTCCATCTGCCTCTCTGCTCCATCTCCTCTCTCTTATCTCTTGTTTCCCTCTGACCCTCCTCTCTCTGCTCCTCTGAACCCTCTCTCCTCTCTCTGCATCCTCTGCTCCTCCATCCTCTGCTTTCCTCTCCTCAATCCATCTCTGCTCCATCTACCCTCTCTCTCTCTACATCTTCTTCTCTCACTCTTTCCTCTACATTCTCTCTGTCTTCTCATCTCTTTTCCTCTGCATCTTCTGTTCCATCCACCCTTTTTTTCCTGTCCATTCTCTCTCTCTTACATCTTCTGTCTCTCCCATTCTCTGCTATTTTCTTCCTCACCTCTGTTCTCTCTGCCTCTGCTCTCCTTTCATCTCCATCTGTCCTCTCTCTGTCTCTTCTATCCATTCCTCTGCTCCTCTCTTATCTCTCTCTCCGACTTAATTATCCTTAAATCTACCTGAACCCAGCCACGTTCGGTGCTTGTACTTGTGTGTGTACCTGTGCTTTGTGTGTACTTGTGTGTGTACCTGTGCTTGTGCTTGTACTTGTGTGTGTACCTGTGCTTGTACTTGTGTGTGTACCTGTGCTTGTACTTGTACTTGTGCTTGTGCTTGTACTTGTACTTGTGTGTGTGCGTCTGTACTGTGCTTGTGCTTGTACTTGTACTGTGTGTGTGCGTCTGTACCTGTGCTTGTGCTTGTACTTGTGTGTGTGCGTCTGTACCTGTGCTTGTGCTTGTACTTGTACTTGTGTGTGTACCTGTGCTTGTGTACTTGTACTTGTACTTGTACTTGTACTTGTACTTGTGTGCGTCTGTACCTGTGGGTCTGCCAGCCTGGTCACGTTGGGTCTGAGGTAGTAGACGATTCCCTGAGCGGCTCCAGGGAGAGTGGCTCCTCGGATCAGCAGCACGAACAGCATCAGGTACGGGAACGTGGCCGTGAGATACACCACCTACGAGACAGGAACACCATGAATTATTCTGGATTTTTTAAACACGTGAAAATAAACAAAACAAAAATTCATACTAGTCCTGGTTCGTCTTGTCCCAGTACAGATATTTTGTATAAGCAGTAAAAATCTAATAAAAAATCTAATTAAATTTATTTTAATCCCTGATAACAAAGGATCAAAACATTTACATGCCAACACTAACTAATCAAATAAAAAAAAGATTTTATTTTTTTTAATCTAGAAAAATTTTGGAAATATTTCACTGTGATGATAAAAAATGTTGACAATAATCGTTTGTGGGACATTTTCTAAAATCGTATGACGGAGTATAAGGGTCAGATTAAAAAAATAAATAAATGTTGGCGCTACGAGAATAAAGTCGAAGCCAGAAAAAGTTGTAATTTTATGAGAATAAAGACATAATTTTATGAGAATAAAGTCGAAGTTAAAATAAAGTCGTAATATTATGAGAATATCGGCTGCTCAGAAAAGTGGAAAATGGAGAATTTGGAGCATTTTTAAAGGAGAAGAATCCGTGTATCATTCGTTCATTCAACTGAACAAGGACTGAATCAGGACTAAACCAGGTCCAGAACCAAACCAGAAAGACCAGGATTGAGACGGGACCAGACCGGGACCAGACCAGGACTGAGGCAGGGACCAGACCAGGACTGAAAACAGTTTAGTCCTGATTTAAGTCACGGAAATGGGAAACGGCTTTTCCGTGACTTTAAAATGCGATGCAGGAATATTGCGCCGCATAAAGACTGAACCAGGACTGTTCCCGGTCCTGTTCCCGGTCCTGTTCCCGGTCCTGTTCCCGGTCCTGTTCCCGGTCCTGTTCCCGGTCTCAGTCCTGGTCTGGTCCCGGACCTGGTTTAGTCATGGTTTAGTCTGAAGGCGCAAATAATGAAGAAAAGTTTTGTTTTTTTAGTTTTCTTATTTTTGGTTTTATATTGAAAAACAAGGTTCTTCTTCTGCCGCATTTTTCACTTTGACTTTGATTTTATTAAGACTTCATTCTTGTAATATTATAACTTTATTCTCATAATATTACGACTTTATTTTAACTTCAGCTTTATTCCTGTAAAATTATGGCTTTATTCTCATAAAATTAAAACTTTTTCTGGCTTCGACTTTATTCTCATAATATTACGACTTTAATGTCGAAATGTTACAACTTTATTCTTGCAGCGCCAACATCTTTTTTTTTTATGCGCCATTTTATCACCAGAAAGAGCAGAAAAAAAGCCACTTAACCATAAAATTCTCGGTTGTTTTCAGTTAAAACAAAGAACATTACTATAATTGTTGTTTAAATCTGGAACTTATTTATTATAATATTAAAAAACAGGTACAGGAGACTTTAATTTGGTCGTGTTCGCCTCAGTTTAGACTCACACAGGATGAAATGTGTCCAGTGTAAGAAATACGAAGCTGTTGGACTTGAACTGGACACAGGCTATTTTAATCCCTGATAACACCGCGCCAAACGACCAGGGTGACCAGAGTTTCCAAATAAAAAACTGCAACGTCGCTGTTTTTTTTGTGGTTGGTAATAAAGAAATTGTGAAACGAGTGAGTGATTAAGGAAAACTGTTCTGAACTCGGCCAAATTCATGACGAACGTGAGTCAGTATCGTCACGTTTTCTTTGTGTTTTGGTCATTTTTAAGCAGCTTTTCTGTATTTTACCAAAATAAATGTTCCCTCAGCCCTTTGTCCCCTTATTGTGTTTAAATGAAAAATGGAAAAAATAAATAAATAACGTCCGTTTTTCATTTACATGATTTAAACTGCGACGCCGGACTGAACCAGGACTAAAACACTACTGAACTGTTTTCAGTCCCGGTCTCAGTCTCGGTCCAGTCCAGGTCTGGTGGTCTCAGTCCCAGTCTCAGTCCCAGTCCCAGTCTCAATCCCAGTCTGGTCTTGGTCTGGTCCCAACCTTAGTCCTGGTCTAGACTAAACCATGACTAAAACACTATTAAACTGTTTTGAGTCCTGGTCTTGGTCTCGGTCCAGTCCAGGTCTGGTCATCTCAGTCCTGGTCTCAGTCTCGGTCTCAATCTCGGTCTCAATCACAGTCTGGTCCTGGTCTGGTCCCAGCCTAAGTCCTGATCTGGTCCCAACCTTAGTCCTGGTCTGGTCCCAACCTTAGTCCTGGTCTGGTCCAACCTTAGTCCTGGTCTGGTCCCAACCTTAGTCCTGGTCTGGTCCCAACCTTAGTCCTGGTCTGGTCCCAACCTTAGTCCTGGTCTAGACTGAACCAGGACTAAAACACTACTAAACCATTTTCAGTCCTGGTCTCAGTCCCGGTCTCGGTCCGGTCATCTCAGTCCCGGTCCCGGTCCGGTCATCTCAGTCCCGGTCTCGGTCTCAGTCCGGTCATCTCAGTCCCGGTCTCGGTCTCAGTCCGGTCATCTCAGTCCCGGCTCGGTCTCAATCACAATCTAGTCCTGGTCTGGTCCCAACCTTAGTCCTGGTCTAGACTGAACCAGGACTAAAACACTACTAAACCGTTTTCAGTCCCGGTCTCAGTCCCGGTCCAGCCCCGGTCTGGTCATCTCAGTCCCCGTCTTGGGCTCAGTCCCGGTCTCAATCACAGTCTGGTCTTGGTCTGGTCCCAGCCTTAGTCCTGGTCTAGACTGAACCAGGACTAAAACACTACTAAACCGTTTTCAGTCCCGGTCTCGGTCCCGGTCTCGGTCCGGTCAACTCAGTCCCGGTATCAGTCACAGTCTGGTCCTGGTCTGGTCCCAACCTTAGTCCTGGTCTGGTCCTGGACCTGGTTTAGTCCTGGTTTAGTCCTGGTTCAGTCCGGCATCGCAGTTTAAGTCACAGAAACGGAAAACGGTCGTTATCCTTTCTTTTAATTCTTCATTTAAACACAAAATCAAAAACTGAAAAAACAAATCATTATCTGTTTTTTTTTTTTTCATTTTTGTTTTTTTTCGTTTTCTTATTTTTCGTTTTATTTTGAAAAACACATGAACGATACACAGATTGTTTAGTTTAGGAGCAGTTCTTTTCTTAAGTTTGGAGCACGGGGACAGTTTCGCTCATCGGATCTCGGCACAAACGTGTTGTGGAAAAAGTGACGCGGCGTTTTTTTTAGCGGTTTAACGTTAGCGCGTCAGCTGGCCTCACCTTCCCCGTGGACTTGACTCCTTTCCACACGCAGAAGTAGCAGACGACCCACACCGCCAGCAGACACAGGGCCAGTTTCCAGCTCACGGGGCCCAGACCGTCCAAGTGATCAGACAGATGCAAAACCTCACGCCTGAAAAACACCAGGAGAGTGTTAATCTTTCACATCCACGTCACAGGCACAAGCTAACGGGCTAACAGGCTAACGGGACAATAACACGGGAACGAGAAATAAACCGTCTCATTTAGTTTCAGTAAATCCTGACGTCATCTTTATTTTAGCAGTTTTAATTAATAACAAGACATTTCTGAATATTTTTTAATCTTCTAAAATAAAAGAAACTGTATGTAGTCTCTTACAGTTTTAAAAATGTCCAGCACAAACAAAAGTAAAAATAAAACGAGACTGTAGTCCAGGGGTGTCAAACATAAGGCCCGGGGGCTGGATCCGGCCCTCCAAGACCTTTAATCTGGCCCTCGGATGATTTTCTGACAGAAATAACACAATGGAGTTTTATTTAAAATTAGTTTAAGTTTGTAATTTTCTGTGATGTGTAAGTCATATGTCGTAAAGTTGAATTTATGCAGATTAGTGCAGATAGTAATACATGCGTTAATGATTAATCGATAATCGATCGACTACGAGATCATCGCCCACAAATGAAGACTGTGTCTCTTTCCAAACGCTCTTAAAGGACGATCGTTTTGACTGTTGACCGTGACACCCTCATCAGAAAAATGTCCAACATGAGAAAAGTGGAGCCGAGTGCAGGATTTTACAACAAAAATTTACTTATTCCTGTTTGCAGACAAGTTAATGTTAAAACTTTGTGTTGAAATTACATTTTTCTTAAAGTTTCAGGTTGTTCATGATATTATAATGTTTTGTAAAAGAAAGAGTTCATCAATTAAAAAAGATTTCTGTAATAGATTTGTGTTTCTCTGCACAAATATTTGAACTTATTGTTATTTTTGAGGTTTATATGACATGAGTTTTCTGATCCGGCCCCTTTGGGATCAAAGTCGGTTGGATACGGCCCCCGGACCAAAATGAGTTTGACACTCCTGGTCTAGTGGCTTCTCATTGTCTGAAATAAACTGGACTCTGTATTATTATGACAACATTACACTTTGTTGCTCGTTGTGTTATCATAAAAATTCTATAAAAGACATTACACTGGTCAAAATTAATATAGGCAGTAAGATGCATTTACTAGATAACATTAAAAGACTCAGAATTTTTTTTTTTCATTATCTGTAAGCCACAATTATATAAAAAATCCAGCAATAAACTCTCGGGTTTGACTTTCTGAAATGACAGACAAAAAATATTGAACTTTTTTCATGATATTCTAACTTAACAATGGACTAGTATATTGGTAAAATTCTTCAGGCATCCAGGTAGAATCTATGACAAAGGAGAAATAAAATTTTGTTACTGGACTAAAGTTTTTTGGTTGAATACGTTTGGCAGCTGCTTCTTCAGTTCTGGTCAAAATGCTGGTGGACACGGCCTTATATCTGCCTGAAAGGAGGAGCAAACAACACTGAAACTACTCTGGAACTGAGCGTTACATTGGAGAAACAAAACAGTCACTTCACAAGAGGATGAACCAACACGGGTGAGAGAGCAACACAGGACCTCAGTCTAATGTCCATCTCCACCACAGACAAAAGAATTGGTTTGAGAGGGGAGTTAAAGAGGCTATTTTTGTTAAGAGAAACAATCCATCTTTGAACAGAAACGGAGGCTCAAACACAATCTGTCTCCAAGTTACAACTCCATCCTCAGAACTAAACCAAAACAAAGAAAACAATAGTGACAGCCGGGTCAGGCTCAGAGGTTTGGCCCTGAATGATCCTGCTAATATGACTCAAGCACAGTCCCCACATGCATTTCAATAAATAGGCCTAGCTAACAAACGGAACCTGTAAACAAGTAGATGTGTTAGTTTCAGAGTAGTTTCAGTGTAGTTAGCTCCTCTTTTCAGGCAGATATAAGGCGGTGTCCAACAGGGTCTGACCAGAACTGACCTGAAGAAGCAGCTTGGATGAGTATTTGATAAAAAAAAAAGAAAAAGAAAAAAAGTTATCCAGTTGACAAATAGAATTTCTCCTGCCATGGATTAGTAAACATGAACTGAATGACTGAAATACTCAAACAAAAATAATCTGTGCCACCATAGTCTTAAAAACATCTATGAGAAACACTGAGGGACACATCCGAGTTTGTCTCAGTCTCAGTTTATAGACAAGGCCTCATGTGAAGCTCAGAACCTCCCTGAGCTACAGAGGATTGACTGCAGGGAGAAATTTTACTTTTATTTTTTAAAGTAATGACATAACTCACTCCCAGAACTCCATGACGGGCGAAGTGGCGTTCTCTGGCATGTTGGTCCCATTGGCAGAGTGGTTAGCCTGATCGAAGACGAAACATGAGGCTGCAAACAAAAACATATTTTCATTAAAACTTGGGATGAAAAAGTCCTCAAAATGACAACTACAAAGAGAAGCAGAAACTCCAATAATACACACAATTTTGAGCATATTTCTATACAAAAAAAATAGTTTAGACATTTCTATTGGTTTTTTTTGTGTTTTTATGACACTACAGCAGCAAAACTAGTGTCACGATACTAAAATTTAAAACTATTTTGATTCTCAGGATTAGACTATGATATGTAATACAGATTCTGATACCATAATGATAACAAAAACGCTTTTTCTTTAGACAATATACTGTGATTTTCTACATTAAATGGTAGAACTTTCTTTACTGTTCCCATGTGTCCTTATATCTGGGTAATCCCTCAGTGGTCCAGGTCCAAACCAGGTCTAAACCAGGTCCAAACCAGGTCCAAACCAGGTCTAAACCAGGTCCAAACCAGGTCTAAACCACGTCTAAACCAGGTCCAAACCAGTTCTAATCCACGTCTAAACCAGGTCCAAACCAGGTCCAAACCAGGACTAAACCAGGTCCAAACCAGGTCTAAACCAGGTCCAAACCAGGTCTAATCCACGTCTAAACCAGGTCCAAACCAGGTCCAAACCAGGTCCAAACCAGGTCTAAAAAAAGTCTAAACCAGGTCCAAACCAGATCCAAACCAGGTCTAAACTAGGTCTAATCCACGTCCAAACCAGGTCTTAACCAGGTTCAAACCAGGTCTTAACAAGGTTCAAACCAGGTCCAAACCAGGTCGGTTTTGTCCTGTCAACGGGACTTTTTTAGTATCGATACCTGCGAAAAATGAGGATCTAGTTTGGATATTGGTTGTAGTTTTGGTTTAGTGTGTGTGAGTTTCAGTGTGTCAGGGGTTGTTTCAGTGTGTGTCGGGGGCTGTTTCAGTGTGTGTCGGGGGCTGTTTCAGTGTGTGTACTGACCAGTGTTCCAGGTGTTGTTGCAGTGTGTGTCGGGGGTTGTTTCAGTGTGTGTACTGACCAGTGTTCCAGGTGTTGTTTCAGTGTGTGTGTTGTTCAGTGTGTGGGGTTGTTTCAGTGTGTGTCGGGGGTTGTTTCAGTGTGTGTACTGACCAGTGTTCCAGGTGTTGTTGCAGTGTGTGTCGGGGGTTGTTTCAGTGTGTGTTGTCGGTGTTGTTTCAGTGTGTGTACTGACCAGTGTTCCAGGTGTTGTTGCAGTGTGTGTCGGGGGTTGTTGTTTCAGTGTGTGTCGGGGGTTGTTTCAGTGTGTGTACTGACCAGTGTTCCAGGTGTTGTTGCAGTGTGTGTCGGGGGTTGTTTCAGTGTGTGTCGGGGGTTGTTTCAGTGTGTGTACTGACCAGTGTTCCAGGTGTTGTTGCAGTGTGTGTCGGGGGTTTGTGTGTGTCAGTGTGTGTGTACTGACCAGTGTTTCCAGGTGTTGTTGCAGTGTGTGTCGGGGGTTGTTTCAGTGTGTGTGTACTGACCAGTGTTCCAGGTGTTGTTGCAGTGTGTGTCGGGGGTTGTTTCAGTGTGTGTCGGGGGTTGTTTCAGTGTGTGTACTGACCAGTGTTCCAGGTGTTGTTGCAGTGTGTGTCGGGGGTTGTTTCAGTGTGTGTACTGACCAGTGTTCCAGGTGTTGTTGCAGTGTGTGTCGGGGGTTGTTTCAGTGTGTGTACTGACCAGTGTTCCAGGTGTTGTTGCAGTGTGTGTCGGGGGTTGTTTCAGTGTGTGTCGGGGGTTGTTTCAGTGTGTGTACTGACCAGTGTTCCAGGTGTTGTTGCAGTGTGTGTACTGACCAGTGTTCCAGGTGTTGTTGCAGTGTGTGTCGGGGGTTGTTTCAGTGTGTGTACTGACCAGTGTTCCAGGTGTTGTTGCAGTGTGTGTCGGGGGTTGTTTCAGTGTGTGTACTGACCAGTGTTCCAGGTGTTGTTGCAGTGTGTGTACTGACCAGTGTTCCAGGTGTTGTTTCAGTGTGTGTCGGGGGTTGTTTCAGTGTGTGTACTGACCAGTGTTCCAGGTGTTGTTGCAGTGTGTGTACTGACCAGTGTTCCAGGTGTTGTTTCAGTGTGTGTCGGGGGTTGTTTCAGTGTGTGTCGGGGGTTGTTTCAGTGTGTGTTGTACTGACCAGTGTTCCAGGTGTTGTTGCAGTGTGTGTACTGACCAGTGTTCCAGGTGTTGTTTCAGTGTGTGTCGGGTGGTTGTTTCAGTGTGTGTGTGTCGGGGGTTGTTTCAGTGTGTGTACTGACCAGTGTTCCAGGTGTTGTTGCAGTGTGTGTACTGACCAGTGTTCCAGGTGTTGTTTCAGTGTGTGTCGGGGGTTGTTTCAGTGTGTGTCGGGGGTTGTTTCAGTGTGTGTACTGACCAGTGTTCCAGGTGTTGTTTCAGTGTGTGTCGGGGGTTGTGTGTCAGTGTGTGTCGGGGGTTGTTTCAGTGTGTGTACTGACCAGTGTTCCAGGTGTTGTTGCAGTGGGCCCAGGGGAGTTCGCTCTGAAAACTGTGGCCCAAATAGAACAGAGCCCAGGCCAGAATGATGATGTAATAAACACAACCATGAAGGATCATCACCTGAGACGCATAACCCAGACCTGAACGACAGAGAGAGAAACACGGAGAGAGAGAAGAGAGAGAGAGAGAGAGACGAGAGAGAGAGAGAGAGAGATGGAGAGAGATTTGAGATGATTTTTAACACACTTTTATTGTCGTTGTTAAAAACATTGTACATTGAATTACATCCACACCTCGTTCTATTTACATAAAAAAAAAGTGTTTTATTACAAATCCAGACCATTTACACTATTTATCAAAACAGAAGACGGAGAGAGAGAGAAAGAGAACGGGGAGAGAGGGTAAGAGGGAGGGAGGGAGAGAAAGAGAGCGGGACAAGAAGGAAAGAAGAGAGAGAGAGAGAAGAGGTAGGGAGAAGAGGGAGATAGAGAGGGGAGAGAGGGTGAGAGAAGAGGAAAGTGAGGGTAAGAGAGAGATAGAGATAGAAAGGGGGGAGAGAGAGAGAAAGGGAGAGAGAGAGAGGGAGAGGGAGGGAGAGAGAGAGAAAGGGGATAGAGAGAGAGAGAAAGAAAGAGAAGAGAGAAAGGGGAGAGAGAGAGGGGAGGGAGAGAGAGAGAAAGGGGATGGAGAGAGAGAGAGAAAGAAAGCAGGAGAAAGAGAGAGAAAGAAAAAGGAGAGAAAGGGGAGAGAGAGATAAGGGGAGGGAGACAGAGAAAGGGGAGAGAGGGAGAGAGAAAGGGGAAAGAAGGAGACAGTTTAAGGGAATAGAGAGATGAAGAGGAGAGACGGAGGGAGGGGGAGAGAGAGAGAGCAATAGGGTAAGAGGGAGATAGAGAGACAGAAAGAGAAAGGGAGGGAGAGAGAAAGGGGAGAGAGGGAGAGAGAAAACTTAAGGGGATAGAGAGTGGAAGAGAGAGAAGGGGTGAGAGGGAGAGAAAGAGAGGGAGAGACAGGGTAAAAAGGGAGAGATGGAGAAGAGAAAGGAGAGAGAGAAAGGGAAGAGAGTGAGTAAGTGAGAGAGAGAGAGAAGAGAGGAGAGAGAGAGAAAGGGGAGAGACAGGTTAAGAGGGAGAGAGAGAAAGAAGGAGGGAGAGGAAGGGAGAGAAAGGGTAAGAGGGAGAGAAAGGGGAGACAGAGAGAAGAGGGAAAGAGAAAGATAAAGAGAGAAGAGAGAAAGGAAATAATAATGTAAATAATGTGTCTGTGTGTGTCTCTGTGTGTGTCTGTGTGTCTTATCAGTGTAAAAGCTGCTGAACCTGTCGTTTAAACACCGTCTGTTTACACGTCTGTTTTCCCACAACCATCCAGCTCCAGCCCAACGCAGCTCATCGACGCCGCGGTTCTAGACGCGCTCGGAGCCACTTCCATATTAGGAATAGGAATTTATTTACAGACCGAGAAGCGATATGTATATAAAAAAAAAAAAAAACACCGGGACCGCGGCCAAAACGAGGAGCAGCAGCCGTTACGGGACGATAAGGTCGGACGCGTGCCAGAGCGAACACTTATCTGCTTTAAAACTCGCTGCTGACTTCCTGTATTTTTAACTCTTTTTTTTTTTTTCCTCCACAAACTGACACTTTAATGCGAAACTATGATAAATATTTAGTACGATTCCAGCACTGAACCGAGTCGGAATAACAAAGAAAACCCTGTTGGACGCACTTGAACATGATGATGAGGCGGTCAGATGATCAGAATCTAAACTATTTAAACAGAGCTTTTGTTTATCTCCCTCTTTTCCTCTCTTTTCCTCTCTTTTCTTCTCGTCTCCGGGCTCATGTGAGAAGAGTCCACGCTCTCTCGCCGGCTGAAGAGGTTTTGGAGAGCGGCCTGAGGACACTCGTCTGCGGAAGGACTCATTTCAATGCAGAAAAACAACCGCTGCTCCGCTCGAAGTGGTTTAAAACATCTCTCCGTTTTATTTGTGGTTTTAAAAAAGGTCCACGTTGCACTATTTTCTCATCTAATGTTTGTTCTGATGTCGTTTCCTCGTCGCGAACAGACCCGGAGCTGTGTTTTGTTTCATTCGCACGTGTTTAAACGCGCAAAACCCGCAGATTTATGGGAGTTCTTCTCTTAAACTTCGGGTAACTTCAGCCCAGGAATTCACTTAAACTCGGACGGACTTTATTGATCCACGAGGGAAATTACTTGGACACAGTAGCTCAGTAAAAAAATATTAAAAATGGTAATAAACCTCTGAATCAGCAGCAATAAAAACTGAACTAAAAGGTAAAGAGTTCACTTGAAAACGAACGGTTCATGACATCACAAAGTGGAAGAGAGCGTTTTGAGTAATAAAGAGTTTGCTCAAATATGTGTGAATGAAATAAAACACAACTCTGGGTTTGTTTTTGGAGAAGGGAGCGGTGACGTGATCGAAGTAGGAGGCAGACTGAAAACAATCACATCACATCTTAATCACAAATAAACTGTTCAAACCAATAAACAGAAAATAAGTTTCAAGTACAAGTCAATAAAGTCTTTTCCTCCCAATTAACTAAAACAGACGGTTTATATCAGGGTTCACACTCTTTTTCAACTTTTCCATGACTTTTTCGTGACCTAAAGTGAATTTTCCATGACTTTACGGCACCAACATGTGTAGAATTGATCAGAGTTTTAGGGCTAAATATGAAATGTTTAAAGGTTGTATAGAGGATTTTTTTAAGGGAAGAGAAATACAGCGACAGTTTTTTTTTACAAATGTTGTGCATGCGTGACACCACCTTCATCCTCCACAGCCTCAGTAGAAACACCTCCTCCCGCCTCTTTACTCTAAAAATCACATTTTTTTTTACAGCCAGTGCGCGTTCAGAATTACTGTTGAAATGACCTAATAATTTAGCAACCGACGCGTCAGTTTTTAGACCCTTCGTCCGCTTCACTCGCGCAATCGCTGGAAGGAATCTCCAAGAATCACCTCGGTTTGTCTTCGCTCCTTTTCCCCTTCTTCTCTTCTTCTTTCAGCGACCTCAAAAACCGACTTTCTTTTGCGGCGAACTGGTCGTGGATTCTCGTCCGCCATCGCAACAAACTTTGTGAGGAAGTGACAGTTTGAAAAAGCCTCTAAGAACCGCTGCATAAACCACGTGATCCCTGCATCCCGACGAGTCAATTACACTAGAAACGTAGGGAGTTTGATTGATGACCTGACAGCCAATAGGTAAAGAGGCAGCCTCGTTTTCTATTGGCTGATGTTTATCTGGCCTCAACACGTCCACAGTTGATAAATTTTCATTCTTTTTTTTTTGGTCATCGTAATTACAAAGCTGCTGCGTCTCTGTAATGGTATTTTAAACTTTCATTGACAATTTGAAACAAAAAAAAAATCCTCCATACAACCTTTAAGTCTTTCCACTCACCGTATGGTTTGGGATTATAGTTTTTTAATATTCAAAATCCTGTCAGTGCATTTATTGTCGTCTCTTTTAAACAAAAGGTGCAGACGTTCAGAAATAATCATAGTAGTCTAATGAAAACTTCGTTAAACTGCGTAAAAGAGATACTAAAATTCCATGACTTTTCCAGGATTTCCATGACCGTGGGAACCCTGAATAAAGAATAACTTGTGTGTGAATGAAACAAAACACAACTCTGGAGATGTTTTGGAGAAGGGACTGTGAGGAAGCTGGACTGACGTGATCGAAGTAGGAGGAAAAATGTATTAAAGTAAACTTCTGGAGTTAACGCAAAATAATTTAATCGCAAATAAACTGTTCAAACAAATAAACAGAAAATACGTATCTAATATAACGCAACAACAACAACATGCACCAAACTGCACACAAGTCTTTTCCCCCAATGAACTAAAACAGACGGTTTATATCAGGGTTCACACTCTTTTTCAAATTTCAAAACTTTTCCATGATTTTTTTCATGACCTAAAGTGAATTTTCCATGACTTTACAGCACCTACATGTGTAGAATTGATCAGACGTTTAGGGCTAAATCTGAAATGTTAAAAACCATAATCCCAAACCACTCACCTTATGGTTTATTATTATAGGTTTAAAAATTCTAAATCCTGTCAGTGCATTTTATTGTCGTGTCTTTTAAACAAAAGGCACATAAAAGGCATAAAATTGCATGAAAGAGAAACTAAAAGTCCATCACTTTACCAAAACTTTAAATGAATTTACAAAATTCCATGACTTTTCCAGGATTTCCATGACCATGGGAACCCTGTAGACTTCTGGATTTAATGCAGTATTTCCCGCAGCACTTTACAGTTAGAGCGGCCGCCTCGACTACGTCCCTCCGAACCTCGTGAATCCTCATAAACTACGGTCGCTGCACGGAATCTCCCATTTTTTTTCCAACTTTCAAATCTTTTCCGTGATTTTTTCTTGACCTAAAGTGAATTTTCCATGACTTTACAGTGCAATAATCACTATATCGACTTATCGTTCAATATCCATCTTATTCTAGAAGTTGCTGTCGTCATCGGGTTTTGTTATTTTGTATGGAGTCAATTTTTTTACAGCAGATAAGTTCAATAGAGACGATAAAGCCGTTTTAAGCCGTTTTTTGAGAGAATCGGTGCAGTTGACTTGTTGGTCACATGAAAATTTTACACTAATGAAAACGACTTTATGTCATATTTAATTTAAGATGCGAAACATTTCCCAAATTTTGTTTTTAGTCAATTTTTTTCACTGGTTTCATGTTGTTTTTTTTTGAGAAATGCTGAATAAAAGCATCGTGTAACAAAAAAAAAAAAAAAATCGTTTAAATAATCACGATTTCAATATTGACCAAAATAATCGTGATTTTTTTTTTTTCTAGGTCTGGGATAAATTTTCAAAACTCTAAAGCCTTTTTGTTTACGTGAGTTTAAGTTCCTTTTAAATCAAAGTGTTTAACAAAATCTAAACAGCGTGTTGATGAAAATAAACTATAAAACCAAACGCGCAAAAACAGAATTCTTTTTCGTTTTGTGTCCAGACCGTGCGGAGCTGCAGGTGAGTGTCGTGAATATGGACGTGACGTGAATTATAAACATGACTAAAAGCTCAGAAGAGTCCGTTTTGCGTAATCTGGGCCTTTTATTCGAGTCAAACACAGTAAAATTGTCATTCGTGGGACTTTTTTGACCCAGTGAGTAACGAGTTTGTATAAATAAACATGAGCGGCTCTTGTGTTTTCAGTGTTTTCTGACTGAGCGGCGACACGAGCTTTACAGTAACTCGTGATTCACTTGAAATTGCGATCGTTTCAAACCACAATCGGTCCGGTGTTAATGAAGCCTCTGTGTTTTTCCTCGGACTTAAATGTCACCGCTCTATTTACGGCGGATACACAAACGATAACACGACAACGGCAGCCCTGTGTGTGCGGCTTCAGACGCTCCAGAGAACACTTCAGTCATTCATGCGCACACCTCCTCCTTTAAAGTTTTTATGATCCTCCAGTTTTTGGAGTCATTTGGTGGAAATACTTGTGAATTTGGGATGAAAAGTTGAAAAATGTGTTGAAATTTTCAGGGAATAAAAGGAAGTCAAGGACTAAATCAAGGACTAAATCAAGGACTAAATCAAGGACTGAACAAAGAACCAAAAGCAGGCACTAAACCACAACTAAACTAGGACTAAACCAGGACTAAATGAGAACTAAACTAAGGACTAAAACAGGGACTAAACCAGGACTGAACCAAGGACTAAACCAGGCACTAAAACAGGATTAAACAAGAACTAAACAAGAACTAAACCAAGGACTAAATCCAGGACTAAACCAAGGATTAAACAAGAACTAAACCAAGGACTTAAACCAGGACTGAATCAGAGCTAAACGAAAACTAAACCAAGGACTAAACCAGGGACTAAACCAGGGACTAAATCAAGGACTGAACCAAGGACTGAACCAAAACTAAACCAGGCACTAAACCAGGACTGAATCAGGACTAAACAAGAACTAAACCAAGGACTAAAGGGACTAAACCACAACTGAACCAAGGACTAAATGAGAACTAAACCAAGAACTAAACCAGGCACTAAACTAGTACTGAATCAGGACTAAATCAGGACTTAAACGAGAACTAAATCAAGGGACTAAACCAGGACTGAATCATGACTAAAGGAAAACTAAACCAAGGACTAAAACTGGGTCTAAACCAGGACTAAAACAAGGTAAACAAGGGCTGAATAGGGGACTAAATCAGGCCTAAACGAGGACTAAATCAAGGACTAAAACAGAGACTAAATCAGGACTAAACCAAGACTGAACCAAGGACTGGAAAAAAAACTAAACCAGGACTGAATCAGGACTAAATAAGAACTAAACTAAGGACTAAACCAGGACTGAGTCAAGACTAAATAAGGACTAAACGAGAACTAAACCAAGGACTAAACCCGGAACTAAACCAAGACTGAATCAGGATTGAATAAGGACTAAACGAGAACTAAACTGAGAACTAAACCAAGGACTAAATCAGGATTAAATGAGAACTAAACCAAGGACTAAAACAGGATTAAATGAGAACTAAACCAAGGACTAAAAACAGGATTTAAATAAGAGACTAAACCAAAGGACTAAACAGGATTAAATGAGAACTAAACCAAGGACTAAAACAGGGACTAAACCAGGACAAAATCAAGGACTAAACCAAGACTGAACCAAAACTAAACCAGGCATTAAACCAGGACTGAATCAGGACTAAATCGAGACTAAACAAGAAGTAAACCTAGGACTAAACCAGGCATTAATCCAGGACTGAATCAGGATAGAATTAGGAATAAATCAGGACTAAACGAGAACTAAAGCAAGGACTAAAGCAAGACTGAACCAAGGACTGAACCAAAAACTAAACAAGGACTTAATCAGGACTAAACCAGGACTGAATCAGGATTACATCAAGAAAAAACGAAAACTAAACCAAGGACTAAACCAAGACTGCACCAAGGACTGAACCAAAAATAAAACCAGGCTCTAAACCAGGACAAAAACAAGGATTTAGTGACTCCATAATATTTTAGAGCCAGTATTATCTGCACACACTCATTCTTTGAACGTAAAAGGTTCAAATCAAACAGATAAATAAATGACAGGGCGGGAGTGTTGGATCTGGAACAGTTGTAGTTATCAGGAGAACACGGGAACCAGGGCCCAGAGCCAAAAACGTCCTCAGATTAAGGCTGAGTCAGTGTGAGTCGTGCGATTACGTTAGATTATAATGTTGAGAAACTGGAAGAGTGCAGTGAGAAATAGGTGTAAGGTCAGAGAGATTAGAAAGTCATTAAGAGCCTTTTTCAACCAATCAGTCATCAAATTCACAAGTCACAGGAGCACAATACCGACTCGACTCTACAAACATGACCTCAGGCTGCACTCACACTAGGGCTTTAGAACCGTGCCCAAAAGCCGTACAACCTAAAGCGCCGTACGTTTGTCCAGTTTGAGGGTAAACGGACCAAACTCTGGTGCGGCACAGATGGGAGGAGGTGGGCCAAAGCGCGACACAGACACACGACTTTACTATACGAGCCCTGTCAGGTGAGCTGATGTTACTCACACGAGGAAAACAGTGGATAAACTCTGCTCCAAAACTGTGAGTGTGTTTACATGTACATCAATAACCCGGTTCTGTCAGTGTTCGTGTTACTGTGTTTACATGAGCACTGAGAAACCGGGACACTCATATCCGCGTGTACATGATCAAATGGAGTGTCCCGGTTTCTTGACATAATCTTACAAATGCACAGGCGCAAAAATTAACTTAAATCAATTTAATAAACCAGGAAAAATACAAACCGTGAGCTCCTTTAGCATAAGAAGCTAAGGAGCTACGAGATCTCCCACAATCCACTGTGCAGATTCTTCATTAAAATCTTCTGCATAAATAAACTCAACTTTACAACATATAAACCATAAACACTATAGACACATCAGCCCGTTTGATCAGATCATTCAGCTCTGATCACATTTGTTTACGTTTTACAGAAACGAAACTTAAGACCCTTTGGCTAATTAGCATAAACTGTTAGCGGCGATAAAAACAACTCGCTCCTTGCGCCGCTGATGCGATCAGTTTCTTTTGGACTAAATGACACGACTCTGTGGATTATGTGTGTTATTTCTGTGACAGAAGAGGTGCTGATGATGGTGAGTCTGTTCTGTGTGTGTGTTGTACAGGAGATAGTTCATGTTTTAGTTTTTCAGCGTCACACGAGTGCAGATTGTACGTGTGCAGGTTTAGTGCAGCTCTTTATTTTACAGTCATTTCACTCGTTTGGTCACTTTATTTATGTTGGTCAATTTATTTATGTCACTACTGTTGTGGTGAAAGGCTGGAAAGTGTCTTTTGGACGCATGCGACTCAACTTTATGTTGCAGTAACCGGGATAATACTGCGTTTACATGCCACAAGTATCCCGGTTACTATCGGAATAAACCAGCTACAGTAACTCGGTTTCTAATAACCGGGATACTGAAACCGGGTTACTGCGTTTACATGCACCATCAAGAAACCGGGATACTCAAAAAACCCGATCATAACCGGGTTATTGATGTGCATGTAAACACACTCTGTGACAGAAGTTTAGCTGCTTCTCGTCTCAGGCCGTCGTCGCTGCTCTGCTCTGTTTTTATCTCCATAAACTCACGGAGGAGCACGAATCATAAAAGGACGGACATCAGCTTCACTATTTCTCTTTATTTAACTGTACATTCTTTTATTTTTTTTTTATTTAATAGATATTTCTGCCGCTGGATTCTTTTTCTCTGCTAAAAGCGATGGCACATGTAAACAGAGCGCAGTGAGATGTCGTCATCAGCTTTAAGTCATGTTAGAATGTTGGTATTTCCTCAAAATAATCACTCAAGATCTGGATAATTTCAGTCCTGGAATTGCCAGTGAATCTAGTAAAAGGTGCATGGAGTCTATAAACACAATGGAGCACTTCCTGTTTTCTGTGTTTTTGAGAAAAGAACGTAAAAGCCTAAATCTGCAGGGTTTGTGTGTTAAACGTGTGAATGAAACAAAACACAACTCCAGGTCTGTTTGTGACGAGGAAACAAAATAAAACGGTGAAAATGGAGACAGATCAGAGCAATGACGTCTTGAATATAAGAAAATAAAAATGAGTCAGACATGAATCACTTCAACTTTAACTTCAGAGTGTAAATGAGAAGTGTTCTGCTTTAACTTTATGAAACTGTTGTGTTGTGTTGTGTTGGGGTCGTACCTCCGAACAGGGGGCAGATGGACCTCCAGGCGCTGACTCCTCCCAGACTCGTGAACTGCCCCAGAGACGTCTCGAGGAGGAAGAGGGGGACGCCGCACAGCACCAGGAAGAGGAGGTACGGCACGAAGAACACGCCTGGAAAGAAACGCACGTGATCAGAAAGGACCGCTCCGTTTTTGTTTTTTTTATTTGACCAGTCGAACTTTTTTTCATCAGTCAAACAATTCCTTCTACTGTCTAACGTTGACTGAAGGCTTAATAACGTGTTGTTTTTTTATGTAAATGATACATACATAGTTTACGCAGACTCCGTTCAAACGACATATAACTTGGGTTGGATTGCACCGTTGCCATGACAACTAATTACCCAAGCCGTGCCTAATCGAGAATTCGCCTCGGCTAAAATGTTGGCCTCGTCCCAATACTCGCAACTTCAAATCAGACGTGAGTTCACTGGGTTCACACTACAGGGTCCCAATCTTCTAGAATGTTTAGATGCACGGTTCTCTACGGAAGCCGAGAGGGGGTCACAACAAACGCAAACGCCGCGACAAATACAAACGCGACAACACAACAAAAAAAAGCCTTTTTACATCAAATGTGGCAGAAAAGAGGACGAAATAGGTGAGTTTCAGCTGACGTCATTGTTATTAAAAGCCCGCGTTGCTGCTGGGAAATATTTTGGTCGGAGGCAAGAAACACGGTAGCGTCAAACACAGTGTGTAACCTCGCGTATTTATCCCCGATAATGGTAAATTCCTGCTGCATTATCGGATGCACAAATAGAAGCACGGAAGAAGGAAAATGTCTTTTTCGTATTCTGAGTGAAAAGAACCGCTAACGGTGAATTAAACGACTTTCAAACATCCGCAGAGCAAACGTAGAAGATCCTAACAAACCGTGGACTCCAACAAGTTCAACAACACATCGAGACTCTTGGAGGTTTTCATCTTTTCTGCTGTGAATGACCCAGGAGTTTCCACCAAGTCATTGTGGATATCACCCAAGTGAATATTTGTCCAGGTAGTTGGCGATTCTGACCAGAAATTTGGTTTGGTCCAGGCTTTTGTCGGGGTTGAAAAGGGTGATTTGTCGTCCGTCGATGCTTATGACCAATTTCTGGTCAAATGGTCTTGGGTCCTCTGCCGTTAGAGTGGATAAATAACCGGGATCAATACCCTTTACGTGCTTTCTCGCTCCGTCCGTCATGTTGAATTAGTGTTTATTGCCGCCGACCAAAATAATTCCCAGCATGCAACGCGCGCTTTTGTCAACAATGAAACTCGCCTACACTTTGAGCGAATGGACCATTTAGTGTCCGGGGTGAAGGAAGTCTGAGAGTCCCTGCTTAGACCGCTGCCCCTGCGACCCGGACCCGGATAAGCGGAAGAAAACGGATCGATGGACCATTTAATCATCTACTGAAAGAACAGAACAAGGCTTTTCCTGCTGTGTTCACCTGGAGGCTCCTGTGACGCTGCAGGACACACAGAGACACTTTTGTCCTGAGAACTCTTCCTCCCCTCAAACTGCCCTGACACAGAATCTGCTGACCGTTCCTGACCGTCCCTCCTGTTGACCTGACCTTGAGACTTCTGACTGAGACAGAAAGGGATTGAGAAACACATTTTTTTTCCAAAACTTGATAATATTTTAACCAAAAATACACAGACTGTCCATGTAACACTGTAAAAATGTTACTCGTTCTTACTTATTTGTGGCCAATTCTGCAAATGATTCAAACACGAACACACATGAACGTTACAGCGCGGTGTGAGTCTCGGGACAGGAACATTCTCACCGCTGCTTCCTGTATTTTTGTACTTTTGTCTTCAACTTCCCAATGAACTAATGTAAAACTATGATAAATATTGACCACATCAAACAAAGTCAGAGTTAGAACAACATGAAAGCCTGTCCTGTCTCCTCCCATGTTTCGCCGTTTTCTGATCGGTTTTCTAATGTTGTTTCCTTGTCAAAACAGACCTGGAGAATCAATATAAAACCAAAAATAAAAACACGAAAAAAAACAACTATTTTCTTCATTATTTGTCTCCAAATCCAAAATGAAAAAACAGATAACGATTTGTTTTTTCATTTTTTTAGATTTTGTGTTTAAATGAATAATGGAAAAAAAAAAAATAACGGCCATTTCCCGTTTCCATTATTTAAACTGCGATGCCGGACTGAACCAGGACTGAACCAGGACTGAACCAGGACTGAACCAGGACTGAACCAGGACTGAACTGTCCCGGTCTCAATCACTGTCTCAGTCACTGTCTGGTCCTGCTCCCGGTCCCGGTCCTGTTCCTGGTCTCAGTTCTGGTCCTGTTCCCGGTCTCAGTCCTGGTCCTGGTCCTGTTCCCGGTCTCAGTCTTAGTTCTGGTTCTGTTCCCAGTCTCAGTCCCTGTCTTAGTCTCGGTCCTGTTCCCGGTCTCGTTCTCAGTCCTGTTCCTGTTCTCGGTCCTGGTCCCTGTCTTCGTCCCTGTCCCGGTCTCAGTCCCGGTCCTGGTCCCGGACCTGGTCCCTGTCTTGATCCCTGTCTCGGTCTCGGTCTCCGTCCCGCTCTCAGTCCCAGTCTCAGTCTCAGTCCCAGTCTCAGTCTCAGTCTCAGTCCCAGTCCCAGTCTCAGTCTCCAGTCCCAGTCCCAGTCTCAGTCCCAGTCAGTCCCAGTCCCAGTCCCAGTCCCAGTCTCCAGTCCCGGTCCTGGGTCCCTGTCTTCCCCTGTCTTGATCCGTCTCAGTCCTGGTCTCAGTCCAGTCCTCCCAGTCCCAGTCAGTCCAGTCTCAGTCCTCCCAGTCTCAGTCCCAGTTCCGTCAGTCCCAGTCTCAGTCTCAGTCTCAGTCTCAGTCCCAGTCTCAGTCCCGAACCTGTTTTAGTCCTGGGTCGTTTTCTTATTTTTGGTTTTATTTCGAAAAACAAATGAACAAATGATACACAGATTCTGGAGTTGTGTTTTGTTTCATTCACACAGACAGACTCATAATAAAAAGTTACTCAAACATGTGAATGAAACAAAACACAAGTCCAGGTCTGTTTTTAACGAGATAAAAACATTATAACACATTTTAAACCTCACAAGAGTCAGTTTTGTGTGATATAAACCCTGTAAACGCCTCCTCACCTCCTCCGTTCTTGTAGCAGAGGTAGGGGAACCTCCAGACGTTGCCCAGGCCGATGATTTGCCCCGCGACGGCCAGCAGGAACTCGGCTTTACTGGCCCACTGCCCCCTCTCCAGCAGCCCCGGGTCCCTGGAGCTCGGCGACCCATGGGACAGGCCTCCGTTCTGGGCTTTGGTCAGGAGCGCTTGGCCTGTCTGTGGGGAGAGCTGCTCCACCATCACAGAGTCTGGCAGCGAAACAAAAACGCCCCTGAAAAAAAACAAAAAAACAACAACAGCATGAAACTTTAAGAAATGTTATTATGTGTTTGTATGTGTTAAAGGTTGTATGGAGGATTTTTTTTTTGTTTCAAATTGTCAATGAAAGTTTAAAATACCATTACAGCTTTGTAATTATGATGACCAAAAAAAAAAAAAGAATGAAAATTTATCAACTCTGGACGTGTTGAGGCCAGATAAACATCAGCCAATAGAAAACGAGACTGCCTCTTTATCTATTGGCTGTTAGGTTGTCAATCAAACTCCCTACGTTTCTAGTGTAACTGACTCGTCGGGATGCGGGGATTACGTGGTTTACGCAGCGGTTCTTAGAGGCTTTTTCAAAACAGTCGCTTCCTCGCATTTCGCACAAAGTTTGTTGCGACGGCGGACGAGAATCCACGAGCAGTTCGCCGCAAAAGAAAGTCGGTTTTTGAGGTCGCTGAAAGACGAAGAGAAGAAGGGGAAAAGGAGCGAAGACAAACCGAGGTGATTCTTGGAGATTCCTTCCAGCGATGGCGCGAATGAAGCGGACGAAGGGTCTAAAAACTGATAAATTATTTCTAGACAGGAAACTTCAACAGTAATTCTGAACGCGCACTGGCTGTAAAAAAAAACGTGATTTCTAGAATAAAGAGGCGGGAGGAGATGTTTCTACTGAAAGAGCTGTGGAGGAGGAAGGTGGTGTCACGCGTGCACAACATTTGAAAAAGGACTGTCGCTGTATTTCTCTTCCCTTAAAAAATCCTCTATACAACCTTTAAGTCTGAGCGGGTGTGGATGGTGTTTGGTTGAGTTCAGGGTTCCCACTCGTTTTCAACAAAATTTCAAAACTTTTCCATGACCTAAAGAGAATTTTCCATGACTTTACAGCACCTGCATGTGTAGAATTGATCAGACTTTTACTTTTAGGGTGATTTATTGTGATATTTTGAAGAGGCTTCTGCTTTTAAAACACCTTGACAAGATTGTGGTGTGAATTATTTCCGTCATAATCCCAAGAATTCAAGTAAAAACCATATTTCTTCATGTTGTTTGCACTGAAAATGGGAAATGTAGTTTCCAATGTTTATAAACTGTTACTACTATAAAACCTGCATTTACGCAAAGGAACTTGTGAGAGCCCACGGTTTTATTCACATCTGAAGGAGCTGCAGGAAAAACAAATGTTCAGATTGTTTCATTTTGTCACATAAAACTTTCGTCACTTCAGACTGAGTCACGGCGGGAAGAGGAAACACAAGTTTGTCTCAAGTAAGAAGAAAACCTTTACTCTCTACTAAATGTTATTCAAGTAAATAAATATGAGAGTATGGACTAAACCAGGACTAAACCAGGACTAAACCAGGACTAAACCAAGACTAAACCAGGACTAAACCAGGACTAAACCAGGACTAAACCAAGACTAAACGAAGACTAAACCAGGACTAAACCAGGACTAAACCAGGACTAAACCAGGACTAAACCAGACTAAACCAGACTAAACCAGGACTAAACCAGGACTAAACCAAGACTAAACCAGGACTAAACCAAGACTAAACCAGGACTAAACCAGGGACTAAACTAGAGACTAAACCAGGTCTAAACCAGGACTAAACCAAGACTAAACCAGGACTAAACCAAGACTAAACCAGGATTAAACCAGGGACTAAACTAGAGACTAAACCAGGTCTAAACCAGGACTAAACCAAGACTAAACCAGGACTAAACCAGGACTAAACCAGGACTAAACCAGGACTAAATCAGGACTAAACCAAGACTAAACCAAGACTAAACCAAGACTAAACCAGACTAAACCAAGACTAAACCAGGACTAAACTAAACCAAGACTAAACCAAGACTAAACCAAGACTAAACCAGGACTAAACCAGGACTAAACCAGACTAAACCAAGACTAAACCAGACTAAACCAAGGACTAAACCAGACTAAACCAGACTAAACCAAGACTAAACCAGGATTAAACCAGGGACTAAACCAGGACTAAACCAAAACTAAACTAAGACTAAACCAAGACTAAACCAGGACTAAACCAAAACTAAACTAAGACTAAACCAAGACTAAACCAGGACTAAACCAGGATTAAACCAGGGACTAAACTAGAGACTAAACCAGGTCTAAAATCAGGCTAAACCAGGGACTAAACCAGGACTAAACCAGGACTAAACCAGAGACTAAACCAGGTCTAAAATCGGGCTAAACCAGGGACTAAACGAGAGACTAAACAGGTCTAACAGGTGCTACGTTGTACAATATATTACTCTAGAAAAAGGACTAAAAAACAGGTCTAAACCAGGTCTAAATCAGGATTAAACCAGGGACTAAACCAGGACTAAATCAGAGACTAAACTAGGTCTAAACCAGGGACTAAACCAGGTCTAAAATTGGGCTAAACCAGGGACTAAACCAGGTCCAAACCAGAGACTAAACAGGTCTAACAGGAGCTAAATTGTACAATATATTACTCTAGAAAAAGGATTAAAAAACAGGTCTAAACCAGGTCTAAACCAGGACTAAACCAGGACTAAACCAGGACTAAACCAGGACTAAACCAGGTCTAAACCAGAGACTAAACCGGGTCTAAACCAGAGACTAAACCGGGTCTAAACTAGGGGTTTAACCAGAGGCTAAACCAGAGACTAAACCAGGTCTAAAATCAGGCTAAACCAGAGAGTAAACCAGGTCTAAACTAGGACCTTAACCAGGGGCTAAACCAGGGATTAAACCAGGATTAAACCAGGACTAACAGGTGTCACACTGTACGATCTCTTACTGCAGAAATCACCTTACCCGAGTCTGTTTTAAATCCAACTAAATCCAGCATGAAATGACACAACAATGGCAGGATCAGCTTACATCTATGAGCGGGGAAAGCCGTCAGACTCGTTCATTTTGGGGGCAGAGCTTGTTCTTGTGACTTATCTGAGCAGAATTTTGAAGGCCGTGGGCTGGTGAGCGTTATCTGAAAACGTCAGCTCCTCCCTCTCCTGTGTCAACGCTACAACGAGCTCCCACATGTGCTCGCGCTCAGTTCAGTTAAAATGTTATTAACTCGTCACAAACAAACCTGGGCTTGTGTTTTGTTTCATTCACGAGTTTGAGTAACTTTTAAATATTAGTCTGTCTACATCTGCAAAGCTCAAAATGCTCTGTTCCACCTTGTGATGTCATGAAGCGATGAACTTTTACCTTTTATTTACTAGAAATTGGCAATTCCAGAAGAGCTGAAACAATCCAAATGATTTTAGTGGAGGTGTGTGGAGTTTAGAAACACAGTGGAGCACTAACAATAACTGAAATACTGTGATATCGTCGAAAGTCTCACAATAATATCGTGGGCTGTCACAATATATCGATTTACAAGTTCCTTTGCATAAATGCACGGTTTTATAGTAGCAACAGTTTATAAACATCGGGAACTACATTTCCCATGATTCATTTCAGCGCAAACAATATGAAGAAATATGTTTTTACTTGAATTTTCGGGATTATGATGGAAATAATTCACGCCTAAATCTTGTCGAGGTATTTTAAAAGCTAAAAATCATCAGCCTCTACTAGGGGTGGGCGATATATCGATATTTTAAATATATCGAGAACCTTTTCCACCATTTACAGACAAAAGCATCAGCAGCACATCCTCATGTTCCACCGAGTCGTGTCCTTTAGTCCAAAAGAAGCTAAACAAGTTGAGCTGCATGAGAAGTGTTCTGTTTATGCAAATGAGCCATGCGCTTAAGTTTCGTTTCTGTAAAATGTAAACACACGTGCGCAAAACTGCATTAAACACATTATTATCGCAAACGGTCTGATGTGGATCTAGAGTCGTTATGTTTTATATATTGTAAAGTTTAGCAATGTAAAGTTTATTTATGCAGAATGTTTTAATTAATAATCTGCTGCAGTGTCACTTGTACAATAGTGTTTGGAAACGTTGGGTTTGATCTGCAGTGGATTGTGGGATTAAACCTCAGAGCTCCTCACTGCTGGAACATGGATCTATTGAAATAAGGAACATCCTGAGCTTCTTCTGCTAAATGAGCTCATGGTTCTGGTTCTGGTCTGGAGAACAGAGTTAATGCAAAGATGAGCTTGTGTTGAGTTGTTTTATTTATGAATGAAAAGAAGGAAATATGTATTATTTCTTTTATTTTACAGTTAAATTATTATTTTTTTAGGTTTTTTTAATCTTAAATGTTCCTATATGAACTGCCGACCTCTTACACTTCAATTTGAAAAAAAAAGGACCTTGTGGAATTTGGCAGTTTTCAGTTTTAGGGGGTTAGTTTTTCTTGAACATATATCGAGATATATATCGTATATCGAGATATAGCAAAATATATCCAGATATATTTTTTGATCCATATCGCCCAGCCCTAGCCTCTACCAAATATCGCTCTAAATATCGTACCGTGAGATGAATATCGTGATAATACCGTACCGAGACGAGAGATTTAGATATTGCGACGTCCCTGCTTCCTTGTATCACCGCATGACATCACAAGGTGGAACAGAGCGTTTTCAGTTTGAGAGAAGAACTCTAAAAAGTGTAAATCTGCAGGGGTCTGTGCGTTAAACATGCGCGAATGAAACAAAAACACAACTCCAGGTCTGTTTGTGACGAGGAAACGACATTAGAACTAATCAGAAAAAATATAATAATATGGGACTTAGACTAGAATATTATAAACAGCAATAACAAAGAGCAAATCTTAGTAACTATAAAAATTCCATGCGTATCGGAACATGTTTGTCGAAACTGGCGAAACATTTCCTGAAAGACAAATTGAAATAGTGTTTTTAAAGGTGTATTTTGTAACTTGTCAACTACAGAAGTGCCTCAATGTCTGCATGTGATCCACACACACAAGACATTATTATTATTATTATTATTATTTTGTTAAAAATTAGATGTAAATTGTGAATTAAATTTTGGGCAGAATTCTCCGTAGTCTGATGTTATCGGCGTTTTAAAACTCTCCACTTCTGTATCC